CCCCCCCGCCGCCCCCGAGAAGCTGAATCCTTTGAATGTATTTAGGAATTTCAGGGTTGTGAGTCTGTGAGATGACAAGAGGTAGATAATAACTGAGAGGGTTTGCGCTAAGGGTTGTATTGTTACACGTGTAAATAATGAAAATATTGTTATATATCGCCAGATCTCTTAATGAATTTAGTAATTGTATTCATTTACAATAAGAGTGTTCTGTGCTTGGTAACTGCGTCGGCGTCGTTTCCCTTACTCTTTTTTTTCCTTCTTTCTTTTCTTTTTTTCCTGCCTAAAGGAAAGCCAAATGTTTTGCGAAGTTACGTTTGATCGGTCTGGGTAATCCCGAGATGTGATTATTTATAGTTTACATTTTCATATCCCGCGGTCCTCTACTACGCCCCGGTCTTCTCACTGGCATCCCGTCCTTCCCCCGTCGAGTCTGTACGCAATAAATCATTTTCAGGTGTATTTCAGATACTCACCTAACTGCTGTTGATCCGCATATTTTCCGGAATTTAGCAAAGAGCTCTACCTTGGTTGAAAAACGCAGCGGTTCCTATCGGATCCTTACAGAATCCTTACGCTTTAATGTGGTGACTCGTGTTTGCACATTACAATGCTCATGACTTGTTTTGTATGAACGGTTTTAAATGGAACGTTTAGAGAATAATTGGTTCTAATATGAAATGCAGTATATACTATTGATAATTTTATCAATAAGTGTAATATTTTAAATAATTTTAACAATTAAATTTGTTTTTTTAAATTATATATTTGTAAAATATTTATCCTGTTGAAAGCAACAATATATTGTTGTATTTATTCGTTTATTTTTGTAATAAATGATCAACACCTTCAAGCGACAGCAAAAGCGATACTTCTATATATTTACACAGGGATACCTTTTCGAGGCGCAGAGACGCTTGCTCCGATTCGCACGAGAGTGTAAAGATTGCGCCCGTAACCGGCAGGCTGCAGGACCAAACTGCAGGCGTGAGCTCCTTCGCCACACGTACTTCAGTTTGCCCGAGTTCCAGGGCAATTAATCAAACTCGAAAAGGGACGCAACAAGTCCCGGCCTCGGAGGCAGAGGCGGGGAGAGAGCGCTTTAGGACGGGGGACCCACTCGGCTAAAACCGGGGACGGCGAGGAGCTGGGGCGCCTGTGGCGAGGCGGATGGATGGAGCGAGCGGAGGAGGTGCGGGGAGGCGGTGGCCCCGGCGGTCTTCTCCGTCGCCGTTTGGAATAATAGAGCGGGCGCAGCCTTCAACAGGCGGCGGGCGAGAGGGGAGAGAAAGGCGGCGAGCGACCCCGCTGTATCAATGACGCGGCCGTAGGGAGCTTTTTTGGCCGAGAGGCTTTGGCGAGACAAA